CCTTTGCCACGTCACCAAGGGAGCGAAATCTGACGCGCTCGTTTTCTCAGAGGCTTGCAGGAAAGGGCTTACCAAAACAAAGTTACTGGGTTAATCTTTTTCACGTTTCCTTGGTTGGTAGATGCACCGGGGACCTGATTATAGCACTTAAAACCTGGAAATTTAGATTTTCATGATATGTCACCTTTAAACTATGCCTGTATTTGGTCATGAATAGAGCCAGTCCAAAGGTCCTACACTACTACCTCCATTCTTCATTTTAAAGTTAAAGATTATTTAATATAAAAACAATTCATTACTGTCCCGAAATCTGACATTCTCAAGAATGTGGGTCATCATTTCTACAACAGATAAACTTTTATTAAAATATTAATGGAGTCATGATTTTGGTTGGACTTAACAATTTTGACTTTTCCACAGCTATTTTGCAACTTCACCTACCAAACCTTCAAAAATAAAATAGAATTAAATTAAAAAATAAAATAATGAAATGAAATGGCACATCAGACAAATAAGCATTATATTTTGTCACAACTTAACTTACCAAACCTTCAAAAATAAAATGAAAAATAAAATAATAAAATTACAGCCATCTGACAAATAAGCATTTAATTTTCATTATTTTATATCTATGTCACCTATAACATTAGCATTTGATTGGTTAGTGTCTTTCAAAGGCAATTTTAAGTGATATCTTGCTTTGTGAAGTAATATCATATGTTATATAATGTTATGTTATAATAATATGCCAGTGTGTGCATATTTAATAAAAGGACATTTAATTCAGTCATGGTTTTAAAAAGTTCAATGGGTAAACAATATAAAATTATTGTTTTATTTGTATTTTGATTAAAAAGGTTCTGTGTAAAAAAAAAACTTTGTGTTATAAAAAAATAACTGTTATAAAAAAAAAAGCGAAAAAATTGGGCTTGAAAGGGCACTGTTATCATGATTATCTTGCACTTTTCAAGTGCCTCAATTATTAAAGATCGCTCAGGCGAGACTTTCTCCAATTCTCCCCAGTCTCTTTCTAATCATACTGCATGGCAGTATCACTTCCTTTTCTCAGGCATGCAAACATTGAACGTTCACTTGTTTGTGGTATGTTTCGCTTCTGCATTAGACTAGGGGAAAGGAAAGTGAAGCTGACACTATCACAGGAGCTCAAGACTGCAGGATCAACATGAGCTACGGTAGTTACTTTATGCTTTCATCTCAGTAAAGAAATATATTTATAGGTTATATATAGGTCAGACTGCAGTTGTTCTGAATGAATAGATTTTGCTTCAACTGAATTGTGCTGTGTTGTTTCAGATAAACACATCCTCTGGGCCTGCGTCGCTGCTCTGGTCACTGGTTGGGTCCTCACGAATGATGATGGACACTGTTCTGGGACTATCACGAGGCAGTAAGACACAGTCATTCAAATATTCTTTAATTAATAAATCACCATACGTTATTGACTAGTACAGACCAGCAGTAGCTATCAAATATTTAAAGGAATAGTTCACCCCAACATGAAAATTTGGTGAGAATTTACTCACCCTCAGGCCATCCAAGATGTAGATGATTTTTTTTCATAGGAACAGATTTGGAGAAATGTTACATCACTTGCTCACCAATGGATCCTTTGCAGTGAATGGGTGCCATCAGATAGATGATAAAAACATCACAATAATTCCACACGACGCCATCAATTAACATCTTGTGAATTAAAAAGCTGCATGTTTATAATAAACAAATATCATCATATATCAAGACATTTGAACTTTTTAAACTGTTCTGTTCTGTTCTGGCCAAAATACCAGTCTATAATCCATAATAGCGCTTCCTCCTGTAAAAAGTTCTTCCCCTATTGTCCTCTCACATCAAAATCCACCGACATATTTGTTTTGGACTGTTTTCACTGGTAAAAAGATTACTTTTTTTACTGTAGAAAGCAATACTATGGATAAAGGACTCGTTTGAAGTAAAATAAAATAAAAACATCTTGATGATGGTTTTATTACAAACACACAGCTTTTCACAAGATGTTAATTGAATGGCTTGGAGTGGTGTGGATTACTTGTGGATCATTGCGATGTTTTTATCATCTGTCTGACGGCACCCATTCACTGCAGAGGATCCAGTGGTGAGCAAGTGTTGTAATGCTAAATTTCTCCAAATCTTTTCAGATGAAGAAACAGTTACATTTTTTGGGTGAGCTATTCCTTTAAATACTGCAAACGAGCACAATTAAATAAACAATAAAATAATGTATTTCAGCAGAAATGCAGGGCTGCACAGAATTTAAATATATACAGCAAATAGAAAGAAAAAGTACAACTCCCTTTTCATTTTCAGCTCATGCAACTGGACTTGTATGCATCTCACTCTTCAATGGCCTGGGAGTTTCTGTATTGTATGTCTTTATATTTTATTTTATATATTACACCAGTGCTAGTAAACTTTACACAAGACACTATTGCAATCTTCCTGAAATCATGAGAAGCGTATAACTGATATTGATATCTGTGCTTCATATGAAAACGGTTGTGAACTCTCTCTTTCATGTTACTTCTACTTAACACGACCATCTTCTTTTTTCCTGCCCTCCCACAGGGTATTAACAACAAAACCAGCTGCAAAATACCACAAACTGTTCAATACTGGACCATCCATGGCCTATGGTGAGGAATTCAATGGCTGTTGTTCCCACTCCCGCTCATATGAAGATGAAGATGAACAGTTCACAGGAACATTCTGTATTTTTGATTGGTCTTTAATTTATTATTTCTGACATTATTAATAATTTCTTTATTTTGAAATTTTCTAATGACATTTAGGCCTATACGTACTGGTCACTGCTGTGACTGTTGGCCGATATATCATTCCCATCTTGAGGTAAAAATACTTCAATCCACTGTTTATTTGTTTTTATTGTTATTTTTTTGAAACATCACCAATATAAAATGTAACATCTTGTTTATGTTCAGGAAATTGAGCCTGAACTCACTAAGCTGTGGCCATCGTTTATAAAAGGAAAGCACTTCTTCTACTTCTGGTGAACACAAACTATGATCTTTCAGTGTTTTGTGATTTAATGTCTCACAGCTTGAAACACACATTTCCAAAGTAAAGGTGTTTAAAAAGGTGTGGGGAAAAAATTAGCATTTTAAACTTAAAGCAGCACTATGTAACTTAACGGTTAATAAACAGAACTGCACACATCCCGCGGAAGAACATTCCAACCGGAGCTACTTCTCTAAGTTTATGTCTATGGCGATTCACGCAGGTGGTGACGACCCGACCAGGCTACAATAGTCCAAATATAAGTACTTATTATAAGTGTACCGTAGTGATTCGGAATAAGACAAAAACGCGCGGTTTGGAAGATGAATTCATGATGTACTCGCTCATTATATACATTTTGCAAAGTTTGAACACAGAAAAAGTTACATAGTGCTGCTTTAATATCTGGTATGTCTGACAGTAGCTGTCATATTTTCACTGCTAAGAAGCAATAGTGATTGATTTGATTTGGTTGGGCAGGAAGGAGGAATGGATTAAACACGGGACGTGTGCAGGCTGTGTGGAGGCCATGGGTTCACCGCTTCTTTATTTCCAAGCCGCAGTCAAGCTTCGGAAACTCTTCGACATTGATAAGTGGGTGTTTTTAGCACATATACCATGATATCATTTTATCATTCGCTCATCCCCTATTTCATATTTTTTTTAGTATCTTGGAAAGATCTGGAATCAAAACCTCATGCGAAGTGTCATATAAGGTAAGTTTATTGGACTGGCTATCTCTGTTTTTAATACATTTGAGAAGCAACACTTCATCAATCTTTCCATGATGTGATCTGCAGCATGACGACATACGTGGTGTTCTGACCCCGCTGCTTGGACAAAACTATGATTTGCAGTGTGTGACGGACAGCGAGGTGAGATAAGCATTGTTAAATCATATTTACTACATTCAGTCGAGAATATCAAGAAATGTTGAGTTTAATAGGGATTGTCAACTGAACAGTCCCAAAATCCCGATGTGTAAAAAGACATTTGTACATTGCTTCCTGTCCAGCAGATGGCACTAGATAATAAATAACATTCAATCATATTTTGTGAATATGAGTTAGTAGGCTTAGTAGCCTAGTTTTTTTTTTTTGATGGCAAGAAACGTCTCTTTTGAGTTGTCTGTGGGCATCACGTAAAAACAACACAGCACGACAAGTGTAGTCTGATTCACAAATAACGAACCAAAAACTTACAGCACTAAACGTGTAGCTAGATTCATGAAATAAATTACTACTTTTAATTAGTTCAAAAAGACGAGTTATAATGAATCAACTGTGAAATACTGTATCAATGTACATGTATAAATTGAATGTATTCTCCGAGAGCTTCTTCCATATGCAAGCAAAAATGGCATTATAACAGAAATATCCTCAGATGAATTGGAAAATCTGTATTAATACCCAGTCTTAATAACATGAATAAATGATTAAAAAGTAAAATAAGTCAATTACAATTAAATCTAAACCCAAAATCATGACTGCTCTTTCCTCATTTTTAGGGTCGTGAAGCGTGGATCCAGCTGAAGATCCATCTCTTCAGGAACCAAACCCTTGGATGCCCCAAACAAGAACAAGAGCAAAAGTTTGATCGGTTACCGTGGTCTAACAGCACAGGACATCCCTGTCCAAAGAACAGCACCATCTTTTATGTTCCAATTAACTACGAAAATCCTCATGAACCCTGTAACTAAGAGAAGCTGAAGTTATAGACTTTCACTGATTTCATGTTTGACTGTCCTTTTCCAATTCTCAGACCTGGTGCATATGTTTTAATAAAAACCTTGGAACATTTTCTTCCCATTAGTGAGCAAGAAGGAAATATACAAATCACAGATTAAAGGGGTTTGAAAGACCTTTAATGCACTCAGAATATACACCAGTTATTAATGACATTAAAGGTTCAGTAATGTAATGGACCAGTAATGTAATGGAGCATGATGTTGAATAAACGTGCGTGGTGCAGAGCACAGCGGTTTATCTCATCTGTTGGAGCTCAAATCACTCATTAAGTGAATAAAAATGGAATTCCTCTTTATGGTTGATGTTCTAAACACCAGCAGGCAATAAAAAGTTTAAAACGAACAGCCGTCAGCTATGAAATATTTCATGCGAACACTCAGGATGGATGGATTTGGGAACTCACGGTTCACATTTTATTTGACATGGAATCAGTTTGCCAAAAAGTATGTTTCTACACCACAGAAGAAACAAAATAGACTATCCACTAAAACCTTCGACTAAGTGTAAGGGAAAAAAAAGATGTAAAATGCCAGCTACTTCACAATGTAGATGAAGACAAACAGAAGAAAAAAAAGAAAGCTCACTTAAAGTGAATGATCTGCAGCATCTGGATTCGAATAGCAAAATGTGTTTAAATGCGTGGTGTTTTTCACGCTTCCAATTTCCCAAGGAAGCGGAGATTGAGAATCTTCAGTTGCTCATCCAGCTCCATTCTAACAATGCCGTCTTCACCATCAATACTGAGCAGGACTCCTGTGGCCTCCCTGTCCTCTCCCAGAATCACCTTCACCTGAGAAGCACACATTCACATTTATGTTGGAGAAACATTTTTCCAAATTTGTTGTTACAACACAACTGACTGTGACACATAATAACCGGGTTCTTAAGCTGAATTTGGGATATCTGATTCAGTGGGAGGAGCAGCAGGCTTATATCCAAGTGATATTCGGTCTCTGCTTCCACACCTGTTCATTGCCTAAACTCTTCACTGCGCATCCACTATATATAATGGAGACCAGCAAAATTTGCCCTGGTTAATTCTCATTACTTAAGTGTCTGCAGCATGGATTCCATTCAAGAGTGATTTCAGGCAAGTATATGCTTCATTGGTTCTTGCAGCTGTGACTTTCATGATTATGGACTTGTGGTTCTCTAAAAACTCTAAATCCAGTATTTCCCAAGAAATGAAAGGCCTAACAGTTTATGTATGTATATATGATAGGGGTGGCCACCAGAGGCCTCACGATATGATATTATCACGATACTTGTGTCACGATACAATATTATTGCGATTTTAAATATATTGCGATATTCTGCGATATATTGCAATTTATTACCTTTTTCCAACTTCAAATTATGTCCCCAAAGGAAAACTTTGACATCTGTTTTAACTAAAAAGAAACATTTCTCAGTTTGTTTATCTAATTTTAATGATACTGAATTTTAAAAAAAACACAAGTCAATAAAATAACCACACTTTTACTGAAAGTAACACAATAAAACTGGACAGAATTTATATTAATATTGGTAACACTTTACAATAAGGTTCATTAGCTAACTACTTTAGTTAATGAACTAAGAATGAACAATAGTTCTTCAGCATTTACTAATCTTAGTTCATGTTAATTTCAACATCTACTAATGCATTATTAAAATCAACAGTTGTGCTTGTTAACGGTTAATGCACTCTGAATTAACATGAACTAACAGTGAATAACTGTATTCTCATTACGTTACACATTAGCGGTACACGAGCGGAACGCACATTCATAGATCGGAATATTGAGCGGAGCGTCAAACCGCGCAGTGACGAGGATTAACGGTTAATGCACTCTGAATTAACATGAACTAACAGTGAATAACTGTATTCTCATTACGTTACACATTAGCGGTACACGAGCGGAACGCACATTCATAGATCGGAATATTGAGCGGAGCGTCAAACCGCGCAGTGACGAGGAGAGTGAAACATGCGCGCTGAACACTGCTGGGCGGGGCGCGACGCGTCATATTATTATTATTATTATTATTATATGTAGCCTATATTTTCGGTGCATCCCTCCTTACAC